GGTGGTGGTGGTGGTGGTGGTGGTGGTGGTGGTGGTGGTGGTCGTAGTAGTAGTAGTAGTAGTAGTAGTAGTAGTAGTAGTAGTACCTGCAGTCAATCGCATCTGTTCCAATAAGCCACAACTTTTACGACTTCTGCCTGATGAGACATCTCAATAAGTGGACCCTCCACAAGCGCGGGCGAGTGCAGACCAGGCGCCCATTCTCGGATGAAGTTGGCAGGTCTTCGGTGTCACTCGTTTTCTACTTGTTTTCTCGTTTCACTCCGCGAGAAGCGCACCCCCTTGAGCCGCCATGCGGAAATGCAAGAGCTGTTTGAGACGCCCTCTTGGAGATGCCAAGTCTGGCACTTTCACGAATGCAAGAGCACAAAGAACATGAGAAAAAGAACGAACATGAGGTCTCACAAAATCATCACAATGGCCCAAAGTAGTTTGCTAAGAAGAATCGAAGCCTTTTTGCTGCGGAGCTCTCTTCGACAAGGCTTGGGAGGCATTGTCTGGGGCAGTTCGGTGGCCGGAGGGTCGACGGAAGGCCGAAGCTGTGCGATTCGGAGAGGGGGCGTTGCATGCGGAAACCTGGCGAGGACGACTGGATTCTCACCGCCACAAAGAAATCAACGAAGGTAGGTGAAAATGAACAGAGACTTTCCAACTCTGAACCATCCACAAAAGGCAATGAAAACACTTGTAGCTTTGCGGCGGAGAATCTTCTCCAGACATGCTCGAAGCGGCACCCAAATGCAGGGCCCTGCCATAATCTCAACAGCACAGCTCGTGTGGCACCTTTGAAACACTTGGACTTGGATCTCCTTCCCATCCACAGGCTTCCCATAAGCTTTCCACATCTGGAAACATTCTGACCGACAAACGCAGGTGCCAATGGCCATTTCTCGGGTCTTCTCCCCCATTGGCCCTCTTCGACAGCCCCCCTTCGATAGCGGTGGCGCTCTCATCGATAACGGCGGAGGCGCATGAGGCTGTGCCTTCGCGCATGGCTGAAGGTCTGGAAAAAGGCATCAAAACCCGTGATAAAACCCAACCAGGGATATCATATGCAAGGTAGAATCTACCAGGTAGATGACACATCCAAGGAAGGGCTTAAGCGCTGAGAGAAACATGATCATGATTCCAACGGGACCACTCCGCTGCTGGCCTCCGGTAAACTGCTCGGGCTGATGGGCGCAGCTTGGTCGCCTTAACATGTTCTATTTTTCTTCCGAAAGACCTGGATGTTACAAACCAAAAGGGATCGAATATAACAAACATACATGTGCAATACATGTGCAACCATGTACACATGCCAGATATCCCCCCACACCAGAGGTAGATGATTTCGTGAGGTCCGGGCACGCTTGCCCTTCTTCAGCAAACCGCGAGCCTTGCGCCCTGCTGCTGTGACACCTCCGAGGCACAGGAACAATAACTCCCTACACCACCTGGATCTGCGTCCTTCATGTTTGGCAACCTCGCCAAAAGTTTTATGAAGAACAGGTACAGAAGTTTCTGCTGGAGCATCGTTGCGAAGGGAGGGAAGCGCTACGGCCGTAGCTGTGTGTATGTGTGGACGCTGGCACCAGCCTCGCAACTCACGATGCTTCATCACAGGCTTGCAAATCCTTGGCAAAGTTTCTATCACACCAAATAGAAATCTGTTTTTCTGTAATTTCTCAACACCTCTGTGATGCTGTCGCGTCAAATCTCAACCAAGGCTTGCTTGGTGCACAATACGCACATCTCAGTCCAACCTGCCCGCTTTTGAGTTGGTGCGGGCTCGAGGGGGCGGGCATGGGTGTGGACATGTGTTTGTGTGTCTTGATAAACGTTAAAGCATTGGAATGGAATAGCATAGCATCGGCCGAAACTTCTTGGCCTCTTGACCTTTCACATTGGGTCCGTTTTGAGGCCTCCTTTTGTTGATGAAAACTCTAGCACGAGACTGGATGTCCGTGAAATCACGAACTTGCTTCAAGAAAGCCCTGCACGTCCCACACGCCATGGCAGACTGCAGGGTCATTCATAGACATGATTGAATTTGGTACTACAGTGATCCAGAAAAAGCCAAGAATCCAGTTGATGCGTGGGTCGTTGCGGATGGCATTGTGGAAGGGATCCACCATCACCACTTCGTACCACTTGTGCATCGCATCCTGTGACACAAAGAAGTCTTCAGCTCTTATACAACATCAATGTTGCGGCGTTTATCCGATCACAATCCAGAAGTCATTGACCCTCCAATCCAAACAGTGCTTTGACTTCTTCCCGCCTGTGCCACCCAGTAGGAGTTCAGGACTCGCAGGGATCCGCACTTGCGTCCGACGCGCTCTTCGGCAATGGAGCGGAGGTTTCGCACGGCCTTCCACTTGTTGATGCCTTGGTTCACCTCAAGTAGAGCTGGTCAGGCTTGCAAGCTGAGGTCTGCTGTGCACTCAGGCGATCTGATGATTGTTTGGTGAATCAGACTTTTTTGAGGTTCCATTTCACCTTGCGACGAGTCCCTTCACCTCTTCGAAGAGGCTAGTGCCTTGGCCTTGCCAACGGCCAAAACACCAGCCTGGGTCTCCAAAGCATGCGAAAGGACAAACAGCCAAGTGACTGGCTTGCCATAGACGATGCCCTGGACAGGGATTCAGGGTGAAAACATATAGGCTTCCATGGGTGATTCCAGGGCTAGATTATACAAATGAGTCTTCACTTTCGACTGGAGTCTTCCTTTGGGTGTCTGCTCGGCGAAAAGACTACGGCGACCTCTCGGACTGCCTTGGCCACGCGCTTCTTGCGGTCTCCTCGCTTCACGCGGACGCGGTAGATGCAGTAGCCCTGCTTGGCCTTGGACGAGGATCCAAACTGCGTGGCCACTTTCTTGTTTGCGGTGTTCGATACGGGAACACAGTCACGCGTTATCCTCTCTTCGTATTTTAGTCCCACTTTGGCTCAGCAAAATAGTTCCCACTGGCCTAGAAAATTGGGTCTATATGTTTTTTCGTTTTGAGGTTACCCATGTTCTGTTTTCTACAGTCATCTACCCAATGATGTATACCTGTCCAAGAACGCAAGAATCCAACTGCCCCTCCCAGAAAGGCCAGCACGCCTTGTAGCCCACCTTTCGGGCTTTGTCCGGGCGGGTTGGTCGGCTACAACGATGCACTGCAGGCAACCTCATGGTGAAAAGGTCGTCACTGAAATGACCAGAAAACGCTCACCACTATTTAAGTTGACAAGACCGCTCACCGAGAATTGGTAGTGATTAGCAGTGATTAGCAAGTGGAAGAAATCCTAAAGGAACAAGGCAACAGATTCCAACGCAGCAACCGAACAAGAGCTTGACATGTCAAACCTGCTGTGAATTGCTGCCTGTTGATCTGACACGCTCTCGTCGCCCTGGGGCTCTACGAAGCGCACGAAGCCACGTCCGCAAGAATTGAGGCAGGTTGCTGACGGAACTCCCAGTTCCGCATGCGCGCAAGGAAGCGCATCACGTCCTCAAATCCAAAAGAAGTGAAGGTGTTTGTACCCACTGTTCGCCACAGAAAAACAGGTTGCTGGCTGATTGCAATACTGAGCCTTCCGGTGGCCTTCCCCTGTGAAATATGCATATATATATATATATACAGTATTTATTTATGAATACCATATACATCAATGTAGACCAAATAACAGGGTTAACTCCAGATCAAGCCAAAGCTGCAGACTGCTTCTTGCGCCACATCTCCTCGAGGTACTTGTAGGCTCCTGAGTAGCTGATCAGAACCTTTGACTTTTTGAAGGCTACAACTCTCCCAAATAGAATGGTGAACTTCCTGAGTGACAGCTAGCACTGATCCTGACAAAGCAGTGGACTAGTCCCTTGCAAAAGTTTTTCATTATTTGCAAGTTGGAACCTCCATCCTGTCACAACGGTACTTTCAGCATACAAGTATGTCAGGCCGCAGTCCCACCATGTCCCACCCGTCTGAGTGCGGCACCCATGTTTTCGATGAAAAAAAGGCTCTTCCGCGTCGCACTTGTCGATCGATCACTCCGCGTCGCACGCCCCCGTCTTTGAGCCCAAAATCAGCAGAGGCTTCGCCTGATCCTCCGGATGTGCCCCCTTGGTGGATGACAGGACCCTTCGTCGTAAGCTCACGAGGGCAGGCCACATAACGATCCCTCTATGCACACCTCCAATCTCTCTTATCAGGTACATGTATCAAAGATTTCCACCTACAGCTTTCAACCGAAATTACAACTGAGCAGGTCTTGCCACTGCACTGCTCAAACAAACAACAAGCAAGGGTCCAGTATGTCCTTTTGAAAGGGTGCCATGGCCTCTGTCAGCTCTGCAAGATTCTAGATTCCGCAGCCCCAACCGTGCCTCATGTGTGAAGTGATGAATTCCTCGGCTGGAACAGAAAAGACTGCAAAGTGGCTCCGGCCGACTTGGACGTCCAAAAGGACGCTACTAGGGGCTCCTGGCCTTACTTCTAGGAGCAAGGACGCTACTAGGAACAAAGGGCATCGCTACTGGTAACAAGAAGCTATTAGGCTCAAATGTGCATCAGACCAGCGCAAAATCAGACCTTGAGAATCCTTGAGACCTTTGCGTGAGATCCAAAGGGACTTTGGTGAACGGAAGGCACGGCATGAGCGACAAAAAGGAGACTCGCAAAAGACATGGTCGTTGCCATCATCATTTTCAACCAAAGACATTCTCGTTGTTCACAACCCCGAGCCAAAGAAGGTCCAAGCAGCTTGATTGCAAATCCGTTCCGCCGCCAAGCTATGCTTTACATTTGCTCGGACGAGATCTATATACTTCGGAGCAGTGCACATGTCGAACTGTGCGGTTGACAAAAAAGACGACGCCAAAAAGGTTATGTCAAGCAATTGGAGAATTCCCACAAAAATGCTGAAAATCACAGGCTTCTGAACCCAAAGGAGCTCCAGAAAATGAACAATAAGACCAAGAATGAACCTTTCATGAGTGAAGTATAGCCTTGTGTCAAGTATGAGCTGAGGAGTTGTGTACGTAAGAAAAGGACACCTCGCATCCAAGCAAGAGCAGCTAGCAGCGGCCTTTTTGGATCATGCGGCGTCATCAGTCCAAGCTGACGGGTCCCCAAACAATCTCCCTGGGCGTGCGAAAATCATGGCAACTCAAAAGCAAAACAGTGAACAACCTCCATTCCTACTATGAACAAAAGCTACTAGGTGGAGGGCATCGTTATTAGGTTGGAGGCCATTCCTACTAGTAGCAAGAATCTACTAGTAACACGTTTGCACACAACGCAGTTGCACAAGTGACATCATTGCACCGGATAGCAAGAGTCCTGAAGTTGCCAATCCGGGAGGCCCTTGGATAGAAACCGTCCAGTTGAAGGTTTGACATTTGGCAAAAGGGGTGAGCTTCCTCGCAGTCAATCACGCAAAGAAGCTACACCTGCTCCACAGGTTCATCAGCGCCTTCCGAATCACAAGAGCCCACTGCATGTGGCCTACTAGTGAATTTACCTTGCGTCTCGAGGAGGAATAGAATCACAAACTGCGCCAATGGTGTCTATGTGGAGCTGGATTGCGTCCTCTCAGCTCAGCAGCAGCCGCTGGACTTCTTCTTCTTGCTCTTCTGGCAAACAACAAACGCGCATTGAAGCGGTTCATGGACGGAATCAGTTCAGTTGCCCCGCTCACTCTCCCACACATGCCTACCCATTGCCCACAGTGGGATGGCCAACAATGAACTCAAAAATATTAATAAAGTTATATCAGGCTGTATCCCACCCTTTTTCCAAACACTATATATATAAAGACTGAGACCGAGTCTTGAATTCGCACTGGATCAGGTTTTTGGTGATAACAATATCATGTTCCGAAGCAGCCACCACTTATTGAATTGTTGATTATTGTTCTTCTGTGCTTAGCACTTAGCACTTGAGGCTGCCCTACAGCACAAGACCAACGAAAAAACGATCCACTACAACTCCTAAGGCTCAAAGTGCCCCGATGTCCTCTGAAGGCAAATTACACCTGTGCCACTCAGCTTCTCACCTTGGAGCTCTTCTTGGCTGGCATGGACGAGCCCAATTTGGCACCCACAGAAGTGCCCGTGACCACGAAGCTCTCACGAGCCTGCAGCTACCATTGGGCCATGTGTGGAACGCTCTAGTCAACTTGCCAAGAATCTGTTCTTTTTGTAGCAAGAAGAAATATCGCTTCAATGCCGTGCCTTGTCGCTCATAGAA